GCTTGACGAGGCTGCTGTGTCTCCCTTACTCGTTGGTTCTATTCGGTGAAAGTCACCACGTAGGTAAAAAAAAATAAAACAGCAAAAAATCACCACGACGTTTCGGCCACAACACGAGCGGCCTTCATCAGGCGAAGGGACCCCAGGCTGTCTCGAGGACAGCGCTGGAGTGAAAAACAGCCACGCTCAGACCGCGGACCTTTAAAGCTGTGTGCGAGGAAACAAGGCGCCTTGACAAAGGAATTGGCATAAAAAAATTAGCATTTGATTGGCCGACTTAGCATAGAGGTGGTGTACGTGCGGGTGGGGGAGGGGGAGTTTACCTATCGATGGTGTGAAAAGGGAATTTATAAGAGCTGCGAAAGTTTGGGGTACCACTACTTGAAAAATATACCGCACCATTGAAAATCAGTTTAATGTTTGGTTCGATTTAGAACATCTTTCCAATGTCTAGATTTAAAGCTTTCGTGACTGCTAGGATCCATACTCTTTGGTTCTATTGGGTAAAGTCACGTATGTGAAAATAAAATAACAAAAAATCACCACGACGTTTCGGCCACAACACAAGCGGCCTTCATCAGGTGAAGGGATGAGACTGTCTGGAGGACAGCGCTGGAGTGGAAGAAGCCACGCTTAGATCACGACATTTAAGCTGTGTGAGAAGAAGAAGACCACGGGCTTTGACAAAGGAATTGGCATATAATTTAGCATTGAAATGGCTCATTGAAATAGCTAAGTTAAAGTATACACATCCGCAGAGGTGCCCCTTGACAAAGGAATTGGCATCGAATTTAGCATTTAAATAGCTGAGTGATTAGCTAGTATTACCTACGTGACTTTACCCAATAGAACCAAAGATTATCTTTCCAATGGTTGCCATCTCCTGTTTGATATATAAACCCCTTTGTCAAGGTGCCTCACCTCTCCTAAACCAGCTTAAAAAGACGCTACGAATCTTAACAACGTTCACTGAGGCTCTGTCGTCCCCGACAGCTCTGCTCCTTTCACCTGAAGAAGGCCGCTTGTGTTTGTGGCCGAAACGTTCGTGAGACTTTTATCGTGTTATTTTACTTTATCAATTTATCATTTTATTTCGATTTAAAGCTGGTCGTGACTGCAAGGATTCATCTTCGTTGGTTCTTTCGGTTAAAGTCGCCGCCGCGTAGAATTTAGAGTAAAATAGTAAATTGGTAAAATAAAAGAACGTGGTAAAATTCTCACGACGTCATTTTAGTCTCAATCTACGTGGTGACTTTACCGAAAGAACCAAAGAGGCCACGATCATACTCTTTGGTTCTATTGGGTAAAGTCACCACGTAGGTGAAAATAAAACAACAAAAAATCACGACGACGTTTCGGCCACAACACAAGCGGCCTTCATCAGGTGAAGAAGGGACGAGAGACTGTCTGGTAGGACAGCGCTGTGATTTTTTTGTTATTTTATTTTTCACCTACGTTACTTTACCCAATGGAACCAAAGAGTATGGATCCTAGCAGTCGCCACGAAAGCTTTAAATCTAGGCCACGATCGCTTGAGGCAGCCCAGGGGTCGCGAGTGAAGACTGAAAGAGAGCCTCGCAGTAGCTCGGCGTGTAGCAAGTACTCTCACCCTGGTGGAGGAAATAAAAACACCATTTTGACTCGACAAAAATCTCATCTGGAAGCCCCATTCGCCATGCCCGCGTTGGTTGGCACGTTGTTGTGGTTCCCCCCCATGAACCCCCCATCCGCTTGTCTTTATCTGGCCAAACGGAAGCTTAACCCACGGCAAACACGGCCACAACAACGTGCACGAAAAAAAGGACGGACAAAGTGGAGCAAAAGTTTTAGGCCCGGGGGGGGGGAGGGGGGGTGACCACCGTCGATTGACGCCACTTGTGCTGGCAACAACGCAAGGTTGAACAACCCCACCCCCATACACACACACAACACACACACCGCACAACACACACCGCACAACACACACCGCACAACACACACACCGCACAACACACACACCGCACAACACACCACACGCACAACACACATCGCACAACACACACACCGCACACCACACACGCCGCACACCACACACACGCCACACCACACACACGCCACACCACACACACACACACCACACACACGCCACACCACACACACCGCACACCACACACACCACACACGCACACCACACACACACCACACACACACACCACACACACACTGCACACACCGCACAACACACACCACACACACACCGCACACCGCACACACACCACACAACACACACCACACACACACCGCACACACACATCAAACACCACACACACACACCGCACACCACACACACCACACACACCGCACACACCGCACACCACACACACACCGCACACCACACACACCACACACACACCACACACCGCACACCACACACACACCACACCACACCGCACACCACACCGCACACCACACACACCACACACACACGCACACACACCGCACACCACACACACACACACCACACACACACCGCACACACCGCACACACCGCACACACACCACACACACACCACACACACACCACACACCACACACACCACACACACACCACACACACACCACACACACACCACACACACCGCCACCTCCGTTTTGATCGGGGGGGGAGGGGGGGTGGTTGTGGTGGAGTGGGGACATCAAACAACGCGATGTTACATTTTATTTAATTTCCACCCTCCCCCGACTTGGCATTATTTCCGTTCCGTTCTTTGAGCCCGCAAGGTCGGCAGGCGGCACGTCTCGTTCATTTGAAAAGAGAACGCCGCGTTTGTCGGCGTGGTGGGTGGACAGCTGATGCACAGATATCGATGGACCTTCCTAACCCCACCCCCGGCCCTATCGTACAAACAGGGGTGTGTGCGTGTGTGTGTGCGTGCTTCAAAAATATGTTAACATCTCTACGGGTTGAAATCTTGACTTGAGGCTTTCGTGACTCCAGGAATTCATATCGTCTGGGTCTTTCGGTCAAAGTCACTTAAGATATAATTTTTTTTTTTTATCACGACGTTTCGATCGCAACACTAGCAATCGGCATGAGCATTGTGGGGGGCAGCGCCGTGGGGGGGGGCAGCGCCCTGGGGGGAGGGGGGTGGCAGAGAATTTAATGCGAAAGGTAAAGTTACAGGCCTTGATCAGGAAGAGAGAGAGAGAGAGAATGTCAGTGTAGATGGCTTGTGTCTCAGCTGTAATTACCTCCCTGACCCCCAGGTGTGTGTGCTGTGTTACGGTTACCTGACCAAACCGGCTCAGCCATCGACCCTACGTCGTGCGTGTGCTGACCTTCTTTTGCACCGCCGTACGTAGCCCAATCGGACGCGCGGAGCGGAAGGAGAACAGACTGAACACAGTGCGGAGTCTTTGGGTGGCAGTGCTGAGTCTGTGGGTGGCAGTGTGAAGTCTGTGGGTGGCAGTGTGGAGTCTGTGCGTGGCAGTGTGGAGTCTGTGGGTGGCAGTGTGGAGTCTGTGCGTGGCAGTGTGGAGTCTGTGGGTGGCAGTGTGGAGTCTGTGGGTGGCAGGAGTCTGGTGCAGTGTGGAGTCTGGTGCAGTGTGGAGTCTGTGGGTGGCAGTGTTGAGTCTGTGGGTGGCAGTGTAGAGTCTGTGGGGCAGTGTGGAGTCTGTGGGTGGCAGTGTGGAGTCTGTGGGTGGCAGTGTGGAGTCTGTGGGTGGCAGTGTTGAGTCTGTGGGTGGCAGTGTGGAGTCTGTGGGTGGCAGTGTTGAGTCTGTGGGTGGCAGTGTTGAGTCTGTGGGTGGCAGTGTGGAGTCTGTGGGTGGCAGTGTTGAGTCTGTGGGTGGCAGTGTTGAGTCTGTGGGTGGCAGTGTTGAGTCTGTGGGTGGCTGTGTGGAGTCTGTGGGTGGCAGTGTTGAGTCTGTGGGTGGCAGTGTGGAGTCTGTGGTGCAGTGTGGAGTCTGGTGCAGTGTGGAGTCTGGTGCAGTGTGGAGTCTGTGGTGCAGTGTGGAGTCTGTGGGTGGCAGTGTGGAGTCTGGGTGGCAGTGTTGAGTCTGGGGAGTGTGGAGTCTGTGTACATGTGTGTATGTATGTTGAACTTCTTTAGCGCCACCGTACGTAGCCAACCGTGCTAATCGGAGGTGTAGGGGTGGCATGAAGAACAAACTAAACACAACAACAACAAGAAGCAGTTCTAAAGGTGTCGTCAGGGTCCAGGATCGAACCCGCGACCTCCTGCGTACCAGGCGAGGTAGTCAACATCTCCATTGCCACCGTGATGATGATGATGATGAGAGAGAGACGCAGACTCCAAATACACAGCAGCAGCAGCAGCAGGCATCGTCAGGGTCCGGGATCGAACCCACGACCTCCTGCGTACCAGGCGAGGTAGTCAACATCTCTCAGTGTCTGTGATTGAACTCACGACCTCCTGTGTACCAGGCGAGGTAGTCAACATCTCTCAGTGTCTGGGATTGAACCCACGACCTCCTGCGTACCAAGCGAGGTAGTCAACATCTCTCAGTGTCTGTGATTGAACCCACGACCTCCTGTGTACCAGGCGAGGTAGTCAACATCTCTCAGTGTCTGTGATTGAACTCACGACCTCCTGCGTACCAGGCGAGGTAGTCAACATCTCTCAGTGTCTGTGATTGAACCCACGACCTCCTGCGTACCAGGCGAGGTAGTCAACATCTCTCAGTGTCTGTGATTGAACTCACGACCTCCTGCGTACCAGGCGAGGTAGTCAACATCTCTCAGTGTCTGTGATTGAACTCACGACCTCCTGCGTACCAGGCGAGGTAGTCAACATCTCTCAGTGTCTGTGATTGAACTCACGACCTCCTGTGTACCAGGCGAGGTAGTCAACATCTCTCAGTGTCTGTGATCGAACCCACGACCTCCTGCGTACCAGGCGAGGTAGTCAACATCTCTCAGGGTCTGTGATTGAACCCACGACCTCCTGTGTACCAGGCGAGGTAGTCAACATCTCGCCCCCCACCGCCTCCCCCCCCAGCGTGGAGATCGGCGAGAGCGTCCGCGGCGAGGACGTTTACATCATCCAGAGCGGCTCGGGCGAGATCAACGACAACCTCATGGAGATGCTGATCATGATCAACGCGTGCAAGATCGCCTCGTCGTCACGCGTCACCGCCGTCATCCCGTGCTTCCCGTACGCGCGCCAGGACAAGAAGGACAAGGTCAGGCAACGCGGCGGCGACGACGTGGGTACTCCTCCTCATCCTCCTCCTCTTCCTCCTCATCCTCCTCCTCGTTCTCTTCCTCCTCCTCCTCGTTCTCCTCATCCTCCTCTTCCTCATCCTCCTCCTCTTCCTCCTCATCCTCCTCGTTCTCCTCATCCTCCTCATCCTCCTCTTCCTCCTCTTCCTCCTCTTCCTCATCCTCTTCCTCCTCCTCCTCCTCCTCGTTCTCCTCCTCCTCTTCCTCCTCCTCCTCGTTCTCCTCCTCGTCCTCCTCCTCATCCTCCTCTTGCTCATCCTCCTCTTCTTCCTCCTCATCCTCCTCCTCGTCCTCCTCCTCGTCCTCCTCCTCGTCCTCCTCCTCATCCTCGTGCCCCCCCCCCCCCGCTGCCTCTGTCGCCCTCTGTCTCTGTCTCTAACCCCCCTCTCTCTCTCCAGCCCCCCCCCCTCTCTCTCTCTACCCCCCTCTCTCTCTCTACCCCCCTCTCTCTCCAGCCCCCCCCTCTCTCCAGCCCCCCCCCCTCTCTCTCCAGCCCCCCCCCCCCCGCTCTCCCCAGCCCCCCCCCCCCCCCGCTCTCCCCAGCCCCCCCCCCCCCGCTCTCTCCCGCCAATCGGCCCAAATTCCCCGGTGATTTCGCTCGATTTTTGGAGTGGGTGGGGTCAAGATTTGCGTTGAGCTCTCTCGGCAGTCGACCCAATCAGTGCAATCGATGGACCACGACGATCGTTTGTTGTGGTGGTGGTTGTGGTGGTGGTTGTGGTGGTGGTTGTGGTGGTGGTGGTTGTGGTGATGGTGGTTGTGGTGGTGGTGGTTGTGGTGGTGGTTGTGGTGGTGGTTGTGGTGGTGGTGGTGGTGGTGGTGGTTGTGGTGGTGGTTGTGGTGGTTGTGGTGGTGGTGGTTGTGGTGATGGTGGTTGTGGTGGTGGTGGTTGTGGTGGTGGTTGTGGTGGTGGTTGTGGTTGTGGTGGTGGTGGTGGTGGTTGTGGTGGTGGTTGTGGTGGTGGTGGTGGTGGTGGTTGTGGTGGTGGTGGTGGTTGTGGTGGTGGTGGTGGTGGTTGTGGTGGTGGTTGTGGTGGTGGTTGTTGTTGTGGTGGTGGTGGTTGTGGTGGTGGTGGTTGTGGTGGTGGTGGTTGTGGTGGTGGTGGTTGTGGTGGTGGTTGTGGTGGTGGTTGCTTGCGGTTGCTTTGCTTCCCCCGTGGCTCTCTCTCTCTCTTTGCCGCGACGTGCAGTTTCGTCTCTATACCCCTACAGCCCCTACCCCTACAGCCGCTACCACTGTGTACCCCTACAGCCCCTACCCCTACAGCCCCTACCACTGTGTGTACCCCTACAGCCCCTACCACTGTGTGTGTACCCCTACAGCCCCTACCACTGTGTGTGTACCCCTCCAGCCCCTACCACTACAGCCCCTACCACTGTGTGTGTACCCCTACAGCCCCTACCACTGTGTGTGTACCCCTACAGCCCCTACCACTGTGTGTGTACCCCTACAGCCCCTACCACTGTGTGTACCCCTACAGCCCCTACCACTGTGTGTGTACCCCTACAGCCCCTACCACTGTGTGTGTACCCCTACAGCCCCTACCCCTACAGCCCCTACCACTGTGTGTGTACCCCTACAGCCCCTACCACTGTGTGTACCCCTACAGCCCCTACCACTGTGTGTGTACCCCTACAGCCCCTACCACTGTGTGTGTACCACTACAACCCCTACCACTGTGTGTACCACTACAGCCCCTACCACTGTGTGTACCACTACAGCCCTGTGGCCACTACTTGAACCGTAGTGGCACTACTAGAAACCCCCAGAGACCCCTAGAGTCTCGTAGATCCATTCAGACTCATAGATCCATAAAAAAACTAAATGAACCGTATACTCAGAGACCCATAGAGACTCTCAGAGACCCCTAGAGTCTCGTAGATCCATTCAGACTCATAGATCCATAAAAAAACTAATAGAACCGTATTCTCAGAGACCCATAGAGACTCTCAGAGACCCCCAGAGACCCCTAGAGTCTCGTAGATCCATTCAGACTCATAGATCCATAGAAACTAATAGAACCGTATACTCAGACCCATAGAGATCCATTGAGATACATAGAGACTCGGAGACCCATAGTCTCTCAGAGACCCATAGATACCCATAGAGACTCTCAGAGACCCGTAGAGACTCTCAGAGACCCATAGAGACTCTCAGAGACCCGTAGAGACTCTCAGAGACCCGTAGAGACTCTCAGAGACCCGTAGAGACTCTCAGAGACCCATAGAGACTCTCAGAGACCCATAGAGACTCGTAGAGACCCATAGAGACTCTCAGAGACCCATAGAGACTCTCAGAGACCCATAGAGACTCTTAGAGACTCTCAGAGACCCATAGAGACTCTCAGAGACCCAGATAATGTCTTGACGACGATAGTGAGAAGACTGCTCCCAGGAAGATGTGGCCACTGTTTGAGCCTTAGTGTCACTAAAAGAGAGACTTTTAGACTTTTGAACAACTGTTATTGCCGCCAACAGCACTGGAGGCGATTCCGATCCGGAACACACAAAGTCACCAGCAACACAAACAACACGCAAAGTCACCAGCAACACAAACAACACACAAAGTCACCAGCAACACAAACAACAACACACAAAGTCACCAGCAACACAAACAACAACACGCAAAGTCACCAGCAACACAAACAACAACACAAAGTTCACAGCAACACAAAAAACACACAAAGTCACCAGCGACACAAACGACACACAAAGTCACCAGCAACACAAACAACACACAAAGTCACCAGCAACACAAACAACACACAAAGTCACCAGCAACACAAACAACACGCAAAGTCACCAGCAACACAAACAACACACAAAGTCACCAGCAACACAAACAACACACAAAGTCACCAGCAACACAAACAACACGCAAAGTCACCAGCAACACAAACAACACACAAAGTCACCAGCAACACAAACAACACGCAAAGTCACCAGGAACACAAACAACACACAAAGTCACCAGCAACACAAACAACAAACACAAAGTCACCAGCAACACAAACAACAAACACAAAGTCACCAGCAACACAAACAACACACAAAGTCACCAGCAACACAAACAACACACAAAGTCACCAGCGACACAAACAACGCACAAAGTCACCAGCAACACAAACAACAACACACAAAGTCACCAGCAACACAAACAACACACAAAGTCACCAGCAACACAAACAACAACACACAAAGTCACCAGCAACACAAACAACACGCACAAAGTCACCAGCAACACAAACAACAACACACAAAGTCACCAGCAACACAAACAACAACACAAAGTCACCAGCAACACAAACAACACACAAAGTCACCAGCAACACAAACAACACACAAAGTCACCAGCAACACAAACAACAACTACAAAGTCACCAGCAACACAAACAACAACACACAAAGTCACCAGCAACACAAACAACAAACACAAAGTCACCAGCAACACAAACAACAACACACAAAGTCACCAGCAACACAAACAACAAACACAAAGTCACCAGCAACACAAACAACAACACACAAAGTCACCAGCGACACAAACAACACACAAAGTCACCAGCAACACAAAAACAACACACAAAGTCACCAGCGACACAAACAACAAACACAAAGTCACCAGCGACACAAACAACACACAAAGTCACCAGCAACACAAACAACACACAAAGTCACCAGCAACACAAACAACACACAAAGTCACCAGCAACACAAACAACACAAAGTCACCAGCAACACAAACAACACACAAAGTCACCAGCAACACAAACAACACACAAAGTCACCAGCAACACAAACAACACGCACAAAGTCACCAGCAACACAAACAACAACACACAAAGTCACCAGCAACACAAACAACAACACAAAGTCACCAGCAACACAAACAACACACAAAGTCACCAGCAACACACAAAGTCACCAGCAACACAAACAACAACACACAAAGTCACCAGCAACACAAACAACAACACACAAAGTCACCAGCAACACAAACAACGCGCAAAGTCACCAGCAACACAAACAACAAACACAAAGTCACCAGCAACACAAACAACAACACACAAAGTCACCAGCAACACAAACAACACACACGATACAAATCCACGCTCTGTGGATTTGTTAGCCAGGTAAAGGCACCACCACCCCCATGTACAAAGCCGCCGCCGCCGCTGTTGTTGTAGAAGGGCACCCCCCAGTTTCCTGAAGATGTCCCCCCCAAAAGGCGGAACGTTGAGTTTGAGCCGCTGGTAGCGTAAGTACCGGCGGGGCAGATCCTCCCTGGCACCGCAGGAAATGCACCAAGTCTGTTACCCCCCCCGGCGAGATTCGGCTGAGAGAGAGACCCGTAGAGACACACAGAGACCCATTGAGATGCACAGGGACTCGTGGAGATCCAGAGACCGATTGAGACGCATTGAGACCCATAGAGATCCACAGAGGTCCACAGAGACTCGTAGAGACCCATACTCAGAGAGCCATAGAGATCCATTGACATCCATAGAGACTCAGAACCATAGATACTCAGAGAGCCATAGAGACCCATAGAGATCCATTGACATCCATAGAGACTCAGATACCCATACTCAGCCATAGAGATCCATTGACATCCATATAGACTCGGAGAACCATGGAGACTCAGAGAGCCATAGAGATCCATTGACATCCATAGAGACTCAGAGACCCATACTCGGAGACCCATAGAGATCCATAGAGATCCATTGACATCCATAGAGACTGAGACCCATACTCGGAGACCCATAGAGATCCATTGACATCCATATAGACTCGGAGAACCATGGAGACTCAGAGAGCCATAGAGACCCATAGAGATCCATTGACATCCATAGAGACTCAGAGAGCCATAGAGATCCATTGACATCCATAGAGACTCAGAGACCCATACTCGGAGAGCCATAGAGACCCATAGAGATCCATTGACATCCATATAGACTCGG